CCGCCACCATGGCCGGCCGGACCGTGCGGGCCGAGACCCGGAGCCGGGCCAAGGATGACATCAAGAAGGTGATGGCGACCATCGAGAAGGTCCGGCGATGGTGAGCGCTGCCCCGAGGCCAGGGACGGGACGTGGTGAGGCCACCACCCCGAAGGCGGCTCCCCTCGCCTCGCTGGCCGGCGCCCCAGGTGTGAGGCGGGTCCCCGCCCAGCCGCTGTGCCCTGGGTCGGCAGGGTTCGGTCCCCTTTCCCCAGCTACTCCTCGGCGGTCTACAAAGCGTGGTCCCCTGCCGCGCCTTTCCCGAGCGGGATCCCTCCTCCACGTCCCGCCCCCTAGGCTCTGACACTCCTCCTGCGAGCATGCCGCGCAGTCTGCGCTGCTGGAGTCCCCCAGCCAGGCCCACAGAGGTGCCCCCTCTCTGTTCCCCAGGGGTCTTCAGAGCCTTGCTCCCAAATCATACATACCCCTCTCTAAGGCACCCATCCGAGCCCCGGCGTTCACAGGGCCAGCTTTCCCCGCTGACTATGCCCCATAGTGAAACTGGCCCTACCTTCTTAACCTCACCCAGCTCTGCAGGTAGTCCCCCCGAGGCTTCTCCCCTCAGCCTCTCTGACCCATCTCCCTGCCCTCCCACAGGGAGAAGCGCTGGGTGACCGTGGGCGACACTTCCCTTCGCATCTTCAAGTGGGTGCCCGTGGTGGATCCCCAGGAGGAGGTGAGCAAGCCCCCAAACGGTGCCCCTGCATGTTTGTAATCTCAGACACCCCTCCCCCGCCTCTCCCTGCAGTCCGAACTCTGAGACCCCCAAGCGCTGTAGTCCAAACACATGTTAATATTTATTAACGGCTCCTCCCCTTTTCCCTCTTCCCTGCTCCAGACCCCAGGGTTCAAGGCAGAACCACCCGAGGTACACAGCCTCAGGCACCCCAGGCAGGGTCTTTTGCTTCTCGGTGCCCCTTTCCTCATTCCTACAGAAGGGTCTCGGCAGAAACGAAATAGCTGACCCTGACCCTTGTCCTTCTCACCCCAGGAGCGAAGGCGGGCAGGTGCCGGAGCAGAGAGATCCCGCGGCCGAGAGCGGCGGGGCAGGGGCACCAGTCCCCGAGCAGGTGGTCCTCTCATCCTGCTGGATCTCAATGGTAGGTAGAGATCCTGGAATTTGAGGGGCTCAGGGATTGAAGGGGAATACTGGGGGCCTCAGGCCAATCCTCTCAGCCTTTGCTCCCACAGATGAAAACAGCAACCAGAGCTTCCATTCCGAAGGCTCCCTGCAAAAGGGCACTGAGCCCAGCCCTGGCGGCACCCCCCAGCCCAGTCGCCCTGTGTCACCTGCTGGACCCCCCGAAGGGGTCACCGAGGATGCTCAGCCCCCGCCGCTGGGCCAAGAGAGAGGTAGGACCATGTGCCTCCCAGGAACCTTCTAATCTTGAGTCCTGTGCTGTCCAAAGTTGAACCCGCCCTCTCCCTCATACCTGTGCCCCCTTCCTGTGCTGTCTCCTGAGGCTGTCCCTTCACCCCTGCAGACACTTTTCTAGCTGCTGTCTCATTCTTCAGCCTTATGGTCTGTAGATGAAACATCATCTGAGATTTTCATGCACATTTAATTCTTTGTTACTCTTTTTTGTATTCAAAGTCAGCTTCTTAAATGCCAACTTCTTAAATGTGTCCAGATACCTCTTTTTCAGTACTGTAGCCTCAGAATACTATGGGATGCATAATAGGTGCTCAATAAATATTTGTCAAGTGAACCAATAATAGTGATAATCACAGGAGTGATTAATAATAATAAGGATGGACCAGGGA